TTACTACCTTCTAGATAAAGGATCTTGTTACTACCCTCAAGTTAGCCAAAAACCGTCAAGGATACAAAAGCCATATTTATCTCAAGTCTGTTGACTGTTAATGCTATTTCCTTTGAAGAATTAAAAGATAAATAGAAAGATAAATGAAATTTTTTAGAACTGTGCATACACCAATGATTTAGAATGGATTAGTCAGCCACAAAATCCACCCTGAGTTCAGTTTAAGGTTGAAGTAAGAATTTGAGATAGGGTGGCACTTACTCTTTTAATTTTAAACATCACTGTACATTAGTCTTACACCTTCTTTTTCTAAATACGGCTTATTATTATAAATCACAGGAACTAACTGCATAACTTTCTATTAAAGAGTTTATTAAGGTACTGAAAAAGTTTAATTACATAACGTATAGCCTTAAACTTGAGCATAAATACACATACACATGTACGCCTGCTAACAAAATATCTTGAACATATTTTAGATATGCAATACTGCCGTAAACTAACATGGTAAGTTACCCCCAAATTAAGAAATTACCATAACTCATTCAGCATAAAATTATAAGCTATCACAATTTAACATTTTCATTTAGTATTTTTTACAATAACTATTCTGTATGCACTGATAACCTCATGCATATAGTTATACTGTATTTAAAGTACCAGCTTTTTTAAAAAACAAATCATTTGCACTGCTCTCAACAGCCCTCTGTGTGCAGCCTGAATGTGCACACACAAGCACATGAAGCACACACGCGCTCATACACAGACACTCCTAATCTTACACCTGCTCTGAAGCAGTAGGAAGTGAATTCTCAATCTGTCAACATGACCATCTGGTCTATCTGCATATCACGGCTTTCTCTATTACTATATGAAGGAATGGCAATCACGAAGCCAAAATAAAACTAAAATTCACCTGAATGGGAGTATCTCTCTCTTTGTTGAAATGGAATAATACGTGGCATATCAGAGCAAAACTAGCAGGATGTAAATAATTGAAAATGAGCATTCACAACAGCATAATTAAATGAACAATATGGTTCAAGTAATGGGGTCATCAGTAAGACTGGCTGTACAGGTTTCCAGGACAGGTACGAGACTTCCAAAGCACCGCAAACAGTTCTTCCGGTGAGTGGCAGGACCGTTACTATTCCTGGTCCAAGCAAAACTAAGGAAAGGTGGTAACAGGGGTAGCGTGGAAGCAACCAGTAGCTACTGTACTAAAACATTACTTTGCAAAAATGATCCCTCTCTACCTTACAACTAACACTCCTCATGCTACCATTAGGACAAATTCAATTCACTCTGCCACTAGGCTAATTAACAATGACAGTCATTACCTGACAAATTTTGGTCATTTATTAGTCTTTCAAAGCAAATTTTAAGGCCACTAAAAAAACTTCCAATCTTAGAAAATTCCTCATCTGCAAAAAGTGAAGATGCTCATGGCAATTTAACTTTTGGGCCTGACACCACTGGAAAATTAACAAAGGCTTTACTTAGTTGATTTAAATTTAATTCTATTTATTTAATTTTACTTTCTCAATGTCTCCACACAGCTGCCTCAGAGTTTCAATCCACCTCACAGCAGGTAATAACTATCAAAAATAAATTGTGACTCTGTCATTCTGTGGTGTACATACAGCAACTTACCTCTATCCAAGAGATGAGTCCTTAAAAAGTCTAACCTCTTTTTAAGTCTAACCTCTTACAAAATTTAACTCAACTGAGAATCTTTCTAGAATCTGATTACATTACCAGAAGTTATACAGACGCAGTTTAAAAAAAAAAAAAAAACTCTCCAGAAAGTTCTCGGTTGAGTGCCTACTAATGAACAAAGGTTAACTTTATCTAAAAGGTCAAATGCCTGGTGGCTAAGGTTATGACCTTAACAACTTAAATTGTGACCTTGCCACGTGCCGGGTATATTGTAGATTCTGATACAGATCATCTGGTAAAGACTGGTCATAAATTAGCTTTACTGTTACACGCCCACAAAGAAAACCATTTGCCACAATTCCATAATATCTTCAAGTTGTCATACGATACCTATGGAAGGACGACTCAAATAAAGACCAAATTAAGGGCATAAAGTGGTTTTACTCTTTTATATTTTTAACGAGACAAAATTCTCAGGCTTATGGAATCACTCCAATATCATTACACTTGTTACTGTTTATCAGCCACAAAATACACACCGTTCTAACGCCACTGGATTTAGAGGGGGAAAAAAAAATTGGAATGTAGTTTAGGTATTGTATTTTAGCATCTCAATAAGTCTTTGAATAAATCACCTGCACTTTTAAAAAACGATTGATTCTGCACTAGCCTCCAGTATTTACATGTGTGTCCCAAGATTTCAACCTCCTAGCAAAGAAAAGGCCGAGGCATGAAGCAGTAATTATTGTACACATTTTTAGAAGGGGGGAAAAAAGAAGTCTCATTTGGGGGGCTATCTAGAAGGGAAAACGGCATTTTGGAGGGAAAAAAAATTACAACACTGTAAAAGGGGCGGGGGGAGGAATCCACGATAGGTGAAAAGGCCACAATGGTTTTGGCATGTTTCTTGAAGCACGTTTCAGAGTCTCTGCCTCCTGCCAATACTGGCAAGTTCTCAAAACTTTTAAGGAGGTAAAAACATTGTTTAGTGTTTACAAATCTTCAGTATTCTAACAGATGCTTGTCAAATCAGTTGTATTTAAGTTGACCAATCTACCTCATATTTGTATTGGCAACTAGCTTCCCTTCCACAAATAACAGGTCTCTAGATCTCTGAAATCAAATTTGAAGTATTCTCGGACAAAAGGCCCTTACTATTTGCTTTCGCAACCGTCCCGTCGCGAGCACAGCACAGAGCGGCCATTGCGGCAGTCTGTGAAAGCCGGCGGCCTTGCGAGGCATTCTGGGATACGGCAGGAAAACCAAACCGAAAGGCAGCCTGATCCGTGTTGCCGTCAGTAACTCTTTCACAACAGTAAGGATGCCAGCTCTCCGAAGCAACCTTCTACCTGTCGTTCTACCAACACAATCCTGCGGGTACTGAAACCACCAGCAACCCCGTGTTAGCTCCGCGATCTGAAGCAACAGCAAGGGACAGACGGTCGGCGACGAAAGAGAAGACACGTGATGGCCTTAGCTCGGAAGGCTGCAGCTCTTTAACTCGAAGGGAAATATTTTCACCAAAAACTCAGAACGGGTGCTGCTCACAACCGACAAAAACGGAACCGGTATTCCCCGTCGAGGTACCTTGTAAGGAAGCACATACCAGGATGTGTACCACCTGTTGGCACCCACATTTTTCTCTCTTGGTCCAATTAGAGCATTTCTTAGAACTGATAAAGGATTTACTTTTCGAAATACTGAGAAGATTAAACACAAGATCCTAAAGCGTCCTCCCTCAAAGCACTGATAACACCCATCCTTTTTATTTATTTATTTTTTTGCACCTTGCCTTTCCCAATCAGAACCTCCACTTACATACGCAAATAAATTTTTCAAAAATTTAACTCTGCTTTTTCAATAGAGAAGACAAAGTAACAATAGGGTGAAAAGGGGATTAAGAAAGGAATACGTGTTCCTGTCTAGAGGTCATTTGAGAGGTGCTGCCTTTTCATTTCACTATGCAGAACAGGCTAAAGCAACAGGAACTCCTTACAATTAAGTATACATTCTCCAAAACCCAAATATTTGAAACACTTACAGATCACATCCTCTAAAATACTCATCTATCCCCTGCCAACAGAATGCAAATGATAATGTGACATGCTTGCAAAGTTAATTTCTCCAGTTTCTTATGTAAGGACAGATGGATAACAAAAGTTCTCTTTCTAAAACATATATTGAGAAAAATAATAGAGAACAGGCTATCAGCTGACTTCTTTTTTTAAAAAGCTCACATTCTTAGAATTAAAAACATTTTGCAAAACAGTACAGTGTTGATTTTACAGGTAACACCTTTCTCCTTTGTGAAAAAAATACATAAATATATGAACCCCAAAACAGCCTACTGGTAGGATTCCACAACCTTCTTTCTTCCATCTGGCTCAAGTAACTGCCATGAAGGTAAAATCTAGCAAGGCCCATATGTACATATAAAAAGTCAACAAGTTACACAAGACCTGAGCTTTCCCATAACACAATGAACCTTTTGTCTAAAACAAGGCAAAAGAAACAAAGTAAAAATGCATTCTTTTAGTCAGTGCTCAATAGTTTTAGCCTGAATGCTAACTCTGAATGCTGTAATATACACAGGTAAAACATGCCTCGAAAACAGCCTTGAAACAATAATGAATCTTATCACCAATCAAAGCAACTCACTAAATCAATGATCAATATCGATTTCTCGGTGCATTCATGCACCACACAGGTTGGTTACTTTTAAGATTAACCTTACCATCAATTACTTAAAGAGCTGGTTTGTTTCTCGCTCAGCTATCCTAGACAACACGACAAATTCCTAAATACAAAGCTACTAAGTTTGTGTATTCATGTGATTCTTTTTCCTTCATAAATGATCAGCAATTTGGTAGTACTCTTACCACTTCTTCTTAATTAGCAGGGGGTTCGAGAGGCCCCAGTAGGTTAAAAACACACCCAGAAGATAAGCAACAAAAATACTGCCTCAGCACCAAACTCCATGCTTTTTAAACGAGATCACTTGCCATTTACAATATCCCCTTTATTCCAGCTCTCACCCATCATCAAAAACTGCGATCTAAACATATCACAGAACTACCAACACCTCTGATAACACTACTTGCCAAAAGAACTGAACTTGGTGAGAGTCCTCTCAAAGCTACACTTTTCCACCTGAATAAAGGTGTGCCCTCGGACACGGGCAGCTTCTGGCTGTTCTGACTCGGGTTTACCTTTGAAAGCACACTGTCTCTCTGCACTGTGGCCTGCAACTTAAGCGGATTCGGGTATGGCCCCGCACATACAGAGGTCATCAGAAAAGAAACACACGAGGAAGTGGAACCACTTCTCACCATCGCACTTACCTGCTGCATGCACAAAGTATGCCAAATATAAATCGAGTTCCTTAACAGAAACCCCTATGTGATGGGGCTGCACACAGAGCCCTGGATTCGAGCACTGTGGGGACTTTACAAGGCGCTCGCCATCAGTACTTTCGAGCGGAATACCTTTAAATAAAATCACCATAACAAGGTCCAACCTCCAGACTTTATCTGCCTGGCGAAGGCAGTCAATTCTTCGCATCTTGCCTTTCTGGTCTGGGTTGGAAAGAACACAACATGGAGGCTTTTTCCCCGTAACTGTAAGAACAAAATCCTCTCGGTACTCAGGTCGGATATCTTTCCTTAACTTGGCCAGAAGTCGAGATGCCCACTTCTGCTTGACCTCTGGTTTTTCGCTTAGCAACTCATCCTTCACGGCTCTCTCTTCTTCTTTTGACATACGCTTTTCATGTTTTTTGAAGTATTTTCGTTTTCGGGCCTGCAGGTTGAACCATGTGTAGGCGAAGGCTCGGACGTGGGGCAGAAGTGCTTCAATGAAAGGATGAAATTCATCCTGGAGAAATGAACAACAACAAAACTGTAACTATCAAGAAAACAAAAGGAAACAACTTTTCTTCAGATGGTCACTTAGGAAAAAAAAAAAAAACAACGCTTATTTCCCTTGCAAGTTGACTCGAGCATTACAGTACCCAAATTACACAGAGGATGCCTATGGGAAGTCTGAGGGGGGGAGAAAGAAAACTGTCAGTATCATGTCTCACAATCTCAAAGAAGAAAATGGCTAAAAATTTTAAAATGTGTTGGTATTCACCAAAGTGCACCGGGATCTACTGCCGAGCTTAGGTCCCAAGTCCTTTAGACAGTAAGTGAAATGTATTGAAATGCTTACAATATATAATCTTAACCCTACTTCAAGAAAGGCACATCTAATTCTGCTGCAGCCTTGACCTCACTACTTGCAGTACACCCAGGGCTCGGCCGCCAGATTGGCAAATCCTAAACATCTAGATGCCAGTCAATGTTTATGGAAGTCTAGGAGCAAAAAAATCATCTCCACGATCAATGAAAACAAAGACTTTCCCTCTAAAAATACTGCATGGAGACGCTAATCTGTGTCTTAGGCATTTTGGTAACATCTTAATTCCTTCTTCAGGATTACAGTTGCATATAATTTTTTTTAGTCAAAAACTTAGAAAAATCTGGCATATGCAAAAGATGAATTTGATATTCTTCAGGCTGAAATAAAAGATCTACTTCCAAGACATACTTGCTGATACTATGGGAATGAAACAAAAAGAAAAAAAGGGGGAAAAATAACAAAGAAAAGCATACATGCCAGATAGTAAATAGAATGCGTCATTGTGACAAGAGGGTTGCAACTAAATACAGTTAATTTTGTGAAATGCCTTCGGTAATAATCATCCTTAAAAAAGAGAATCTTTATTTAATTTTTGAAATTAATATTTCAGGCTTTTTCTCACAAGGAAATAGAGAACCTGGTACATTTAATGTTTACGAGACTCCAGGAAAACCCTCACGGTTACCTCTTAAGATTCAAGTAATTTGAAAATAAAATTCAATTTAAAACATTTAAATTTTTCTTAGTGTCTTATGAAAATGTTTGATTCTTTTACTTGATACTTTCTTAGGAAATATAAATATAAAATCAAAGAAAAATTAAACAGTAACCTCCACAAAGCTTTCTGAGTACATCTAACTTCTGATTAACCAACCCACACTAATCTTACATAACTTCTCTCTGCCGCACAAAACCCCAAAAGATAAATTATTTACTTTCAAATAAATGAGGATAAGAAAACCAAAAAGATGCTTGATGACTTTTTTTTTAAAAAGGGTGTAGGACAGACAAATATCATAAAATACATTCTTTTTTGGTTTGTAATATCCACCTAAATATACACTTTGGAGGCACAAGTAACTGCAATGTCCAAAATATTATTACTATAAAGAAATTATTAAATTTTCAAATGTTCAAATGTTAACTGAGTGGTTAAAATTGGAAAAATATTTTATCAAGTCTGTTAAAATATTATAAATTATAATCAATCATCTAAACACTACATATGACTATTTTTTAAAGTACATATTAATGTAATATATAATAAATCACTTCAACAATTGACATTTATCTTTTTCCTCTCTGAACAAATTTTAGGCTCTGCATTTCAAATTTAGCTTTGAAAACTGCTCTTTTTCAATAAAAATCCAAAAGAGAAGTCAGTTTTTATAACGTGTGCATTCTTCAAGTGGAAAGGGAACAGAAAAAAATACTAGAATTATATTATTCTTTACCATAAACATTTTAAATTTCTGATGTTTAAGAATCTTTCTTATTGCCATACTTTAAAAGAGAGAAATAGTGGTGGTGGGAGGGGGGGCTTTTTCAAGTCACAGTTTATCTAATAAGGTATACGCCAAACCGCAAAGCATTTAAACATTACTAAATTCTGAGCTCATCCTTGAAATGCTCTAAAATACATAAAATTGGGGTTTGAAACAGTCCTTCACATTGACTGATTTTCTTATATACACAGGACATGCTAGGGACCAAGGCTCTGTAGTATTATGTTAAGAACTCCTGGAGTCTACCTTAACTACAAAGTGAGTTTTCACCAAAAGGAAGATTTCATTTTAAAATCTCAGGCCCATTTTATAAAGCGAAGAACAACTAAGTTCTAAACAATTCACATTTATGTTAAAATGTTATCTTATTCAAAAGCTTCATTGATATGAATAAACATTTTTTAAAAAACATTCTAACAGGGCATTTAAGTGTTTGAAGAGACTCCTAGTATGCTTCTCACAGAACTGCGAACTGCGTTCATTCGTGTTCAAGAGGATTTTGTTTACCTGCCAACCAAATGCCTATATATCTCATCATAAAAGCCCTCAAATGAGGCCAACTATGTCAACTAATCATTAAGAATAATATAAGTCCCCAATTTTGCATCAAAAGTATTTACAACTTATTACTCCCCAAAGGTTTCAAGAATGTGCCAATAAAAGTGCACAATATTTTGTATAATTTTACTCACATGTACTATTAAAGAGCTAGTCATCTTTCTCAACTCACAATTAGAAATACTCCAGATCATCAAAAGTAAAGAATATCATTAACTTGTAGGAAATGTCAAGGCCCAGCATAAATTAATTCTAAAAAAAAGTAAGCCTCTATAAATCATGTTGCTGCACATACTGCCATAAGCTATGTAATATTTCAAAATATTCAGGAGATAATAAAGAATATTTTACATGTGTACTCAGTGTGAAAGTTATAGGCCACCAATGAAAACAAACCTGAAAACCTGTTTCAAAAGTGGTATGACTTTGAATCAGCTTCTTAAATGTTGATCTGTTTGTAAGTAAGCCAAGTTTAAGAACCACTGAACGCTGATATTGCTGGAACTACTTTCAAAGGTTCACCTATAAATTTCTACTGGGTTATCATTCTATGGCCAGGTAAATGATTTGGTTATGATATGCTTGTATGGACAAAAAGAAGACGTCTGGCATTTTCTTGATAAAGTTTTAAAAATTGCACACATGTAGATGGAGTTTATTCTTTCATTTAGAGTATTTCTATTACTGTGCTTACTGGACTTTCTTTAATGACCAATAAACTACCTAAGTTTTTCTTTCTAAAACTAGCTCTAAAGCTTTATAAGTATTCCAGCAAGTTAAATAAAATTGTAAATCAATTTTTAAAGGAAGAACTCAAAATATATGGCTCTCATTCACTATTTAGTGTGCAATTTCTTCACAAACTGATACACTGTTTCTTTTTACTGGTGTTTCCAGAAGAAGGCCTAGTGCGCGTGTATCAATCACACTGCCAAATATGTTTAAAAAAAAAAAAAACAACTTTCTTAATGTGATAATAGCTCCTGAGCCAAGAGAATCCAGCTTTGTCAAGTACCTGACTATGCCCTGGGCCTGCATGGATACACAGGTATCCTCATACATGCACCAACCCAAAATATAAATTTATCTTTCGAGAGCTCACTTGAAGACACTCATGTGTCTGCTAAGGTCATGCCCCACTATTGCAGCACCCTGGTATTGTCTACAAGTTCTCTGTGCTGCAAACTTTTGCCAGAAAGAACTTCAGCCTTTGAATCTCAGCATTTCCACTGTAGTCATAACTCATTCAAATTCTCTTACACTTTGCATCTTATCCATATGCAATTGTGAACCTTGCCAGAAGTGGTTGGAAAAGTTTCATTCCATACTTCCACAAGTTACTAAAATAGGAACTTTGGAAGTTTGTTAGGGAAAAATAAAAAACTTTTACAATAACTAAAAGCAACTGCTATCCATTACTAATGCTAGGCCTAAATCCCAAACAGACCATTTCAACATAAAAGATGCATTTCAGAGTCTTCTGAGATCAAATAGCCAGTATTATTCCTGTTAGATATTGCAATAAGAAAGGATGTCATGTGAGAAATAAAACCAGAATCTAGAGAGGAAAGAAAAAAAATTATTGATACTTTTTAACCACCCATAAAGTATTCCGGCTAAACCGTTACCTCCTGCTAAATGAAAGCAGTAAGTGGTGGCAGGTTTTTTTAAGGGAGTGGTAAATAAACATTTTATATGAAGCATACAACTTCACGTAGGTGATTAATGGTCAGACTGCAATGTACCAAAACAGTATGAAAGCTTACACTTTTTTTCAAAAATTTTTTTAGCGCAAAATCACTTTGACTTCATGCCTTTTAGTCAAAGAAAATAAATAATATATTCAAAAGGGACCAGATTTGGAGCCGTGAAGTAGCAATATTTTGCCTAGGGGTGGTGCAGACAAGAGAGGGATGGAAAGGGAGGGCACGGGAAGGAGGGGCGGAGGGCAAGAGAGACCCACGCTCCGAGTAGAGTCGGAGGGAAAAGTTGCCCCCGTCC